TATCCAAATTTTTATCATTATCCAAATAAATTTTTTCAATTTGATATCCAAATTTTTTCCGGTCCTTGGTAGCAATCCCTTCTTTATAGCAATAGGTCAATCATCACGGGTAATCACGGGTAGATCTACAAAATTAGCCAATCATATGAGGTCAGAAGTACTGGACATTTAATGTGACGGATCAAAATCTCGAAAAATAAAATTTTTTGGGTGCATTTTTTAGAGATAGGGGTTAGCGTTAGGGGTAGTTTTCAAGTAACATTATAATAAACAAGTATAAGTGGGTTTTAGAAGGTTAACAGATTGAGTAGAAAATGTAGATTTCATTTTAAATTATTATCCGCGACATTTAATAAGAAGTCCCTGAACAGGATCTTTTATTGATCACTTTGATTATCAAATTTTCGATTTTCTATGAGAACTGGACTAGGAAAATGTCGATCTGAGAATTAATGAATTCTCCGATCAATATCATTCTTATAATAGTATTTATTAATCATTTTAATGATCAATCGAATCCATTAATTCCTAGATCGACATCCAGTTCTCATATATCGGTGGGATACCCCCACTCTAATATATGGGTTCGAAGAGTTATATTGCAAAATTTTATTAATACAACTACTTTTGTGTCTTAAGTAAAAAATAATCCCGATCTTATTTTAAACTAATTTATGCAAAAAAATTAATTTTCAAAAATTTGTCAGTTTCCCCCTTTTTCCCTAATGCATTAGAAAATCCGAAATATCTGAAAGGATAAAAGTAAAATATATGGAATCTTACAAACAAAGAGAAGGTAAATATATTTTATTCTAAGCGGTTAATCATATTTAAAAAGCTTTTTTTTATAGTAAAAAAGGAAATAGACGAAGAAATTAAAAAATATATATATAATTAATAATGAAAGAAGAATATTATAATATTTTAAGGCATAATAACTCAATCAGTGAATTGAAATATATAATTGAAAGATTTAAGGATTTAGAAAAATTATCGGGCTGGTTATAAAAAAATTTTTTTTTCATGTGTCATGCTTATAACATACAGGTGACGCCAAGAAAAAATCCGTCAATTCAATTTCAGTATGGTATGATTACGCTCATTTTGTGAGATCTAAATGTGATCACATTGAAATAAGATATATAGTTTATGATTAACTAAATGGGATCTTTGCTAGGAAAATCCTCCGAGGCTATGTTAATTTTGTGAATAGAAATTAAATATACCGGCCATCTAGTCATCCAATTCGAATGATCTTTTTATTTTGTAGAGCTTATTTAGCTCCACAAAGAAAAGAAGTTAATTCAAATTGAATAACTAAATAATTAGAAATTTTAATTTTGTTCATAAAACAACAAAGCCTCGGAAGGTTGTTTTTCTATCAAAGATTCCAAATCATAAGCACAGTCGATCCATACGCTTACCTGTGCTTAATTACGTATTTATAACAACTTCATCAAAAATTGATTTACGTACTTCTTTTGCATCACTCATACTCGTGATTTAAGAATGACTGATTATTAATTAAAATTTTTTATTATAGAATTTTGGAAATGTCATCCTATTGAATTTCAATTAAATGAAAATTTAATCAACACAAAATGTTAAAATTGCGGTATTGATCACGTAGTAGAGCATTATTCAAAATTTTGCGATTTAGTTAATACTTTTTGCAGAGATTTAGAGATTTACTATGATAGAGAAAAAACATGGAGAAATGCAAGCAAACACCACTGACTACCATGTGCTCATAGATTAATGATTATATTTTATACGTATGCATTCACATGTTATAAACAGTACAAGGTTTTAGCTTGGGCTTTTTATCTTTCCTCATTGCTCTGGTCCAATTTTTCTCAAATCTAAATGTTGTCTATTACAATGTTTTTTTTTTTTGGCAATCTTTATTTGTATACTACATCTATAGGTATAGGTACAAACATTTATAGTAAACCTATTTTTAGGGTTCTAACTAAAATGCTGGTGAAACTGGTAAAGCTCTTGGTGAAGCTGGTGAAACCGCGTAATTAAATTTAATATAATAGCCAATCAGATTTTATGTACAGTCTTCCCTCTTTATAATCGCCTCCCATATAATCACTTCATATAAAAACCTTTTTATAATCACACCTCTATTTGAGCCCAATTACTATTTAATATATATAAAAAAACCTCTATATAAGCACACCTCTTTATAAACACATTTTTTTAAAAAATTACTATGGTCCCAACTGTGTGATTATAAAGAGGGATGACTGTAGTCACCAGTTTCACCAGCATTATTTAGTTTCACCAGCATCTATAGTTCTAACTATAGATGCAAACTTATGACACATCCAATATAAAAAATCAGTTAAACTAGTGACGTAAATAAGTCTGCATCTATAGTTCTAACCAGTGAATTTTCACAATGCGGACTGTGCGCAACACAAATAAAAATTTTGTGCACTTTTTTTTTGAATATTTTACTTGCCGCACAGAAAAAGTTTATAGATTGTGCGATATTCGCACAGTAAAATTAACACTGGTTCTAACAAGATTTTCAAAATTTCAATAAGTATAAGCTATGCAATATTCAAACTTTTAAACACTACCAATCTAACTTTAAGCTGCCTTAGTTTATTAAATTTGTGCTATACAAATTTGCATTCGCGCTTCATGCACTAATGTAAACTAAGAAATTGTCTATTTCAATTATTTTTAAAAATTATTATTATATTTCTTTTCATTTATAAAGTAACAACTCAATTACCGTGAGATCGATTTTTATACTTAGAAACTCTTGCCCGTAAATATTAGGATAAAAGTAGTTATTATATAGCTAATATACCGAAATATGTAATTAACTTACCCGGCAATTTAATAATAATACCCGAGTAAAGATTTTCTCAATATCCAAAAAAAAAAATAACTTTATATAATATACGTATACAATGCAATATATCCTTATATATCAATTTTTAAATCATATTGAAAGAAGATACCATTACGTATATTATGATAACATCGATGACATACAAAATTTTTTTTTAAACAAAAATAAGAGAAATAATGATGGACTATAAATAATTGAATGAAAAAGAAGCCTTGCGTAGCTACAATAATGAATAGTTATTTAACTTTGAGTCCGTCAATGCGATAAGTGTCATTATATTTCTTGCGCACGTGATTTACAAAGCATACTTGAAAAAAGGAATTAAGAAGTAAAGGGAATTAATAATAATAATAATAATAAAACAGGGATTAATCATTTTCTTATTTTCACATTCTTCACATTCCATTTGGTTTGTTGGTTCCTTTTATATAACTATTTCAATTTTTTATCAAACGAAAAATATTTTTCCACAGCGCACGAAGCTCTCACTTATATTATTGAAGATGGAAATTTCGCGACCATTTAAATGGACTGTGGGTAACAATAGTCAAAATGTTAGTACGCACAGCCAAATAAATAGAATTGATCAACGTGAAATGATTGAAATGAATGGTGAAAATAGTCAAAAAATTGATGGAACTGATAGCGATGCGACTGTAGAAACTTGGTATGAAAACGAGTACGTTGTTGAAAAAGTCGTTGGCCATCGTCTTGTGAATGTATGTAAAAAAACTTTTAGTATAAATTGTGCCATGCTATTTATTTTTAACTTTATATGATGATGGTTTATTTATAGGATCGATTGCAATATTATCTTAAATGGAAGGACTATCCAGATGAAGACAACACTTGGGAAGACGAATCTGACATGTAAATGGATTATTGGCATCGTTTTTTTTAAAAAAAATAATAAAATAAAATCGAAATATCCCTTTTTTTACAAACAGTTTTGCCACTAATTTGATTGACGAATACTGGGCCAAAAAAGGAGGTCGGCCTATGACAAATACCTCAAGCTCGTCATGTTCATCGGCTGTTGTTTTAAGCCGCCGTCGTCGGCATCGCTATAATGCAAAAGATAAGGATGATGACACATTCATGATTGGTTCTACTAGTTATGATGACAACGATGAAAATCAAGCGAAATCAAGTCGTCATAAAAATTCCTCTACATCTCAAAGAGAATATGATGATGGGTATCTTGCAAACTATAAGCCTGTACCAGCTATGCCAAGACTTAATAACAAGCATGGCCGACCATCTGTTTCTAATCCGGAAATCGAAGAGGAAATGTGGGAAGGTAATGTTCAGCGTGTTGAAACCGTTGAACGTGACAAAGATACTAAAGAGTTGTTGGTATATATTAAATGGTATGTTACTCTTTTATGTAATTTATTATAATAATGATGATAATGATGATAATTATAATATAATAATAACAACAATGCCGATTTTTTTGACGAAATTTTAAGGGTGAATGGCTCGCGAAGCTGTCACAAGGCATCTGTAGCTAATAAAAAATGTCCTCAAGCTGTGTTTTTAATTTCTATTTTCATATCTGTTTTCGGTATCTCTTATTTTTATTCATCATACTCACCATCATTTATATCATTTATATTAATAGGTTATCGAATTTTATGAAAATCATTTGAGATTTCATGACGAAAATGCAGAGATTTGAAAATATACTTTTTTTTAGGATTCTTTTTATTATCATGTTATATTTAGTCTGCTTCATGAATAGGAACATACGTACTATTTCGATTTGTCTAATATGTTACATATATAGCATTTTTTTTCAGACTCGCATAATTCTTAGTTAATGTTTATTGCTGAGTAATTATGGAATCTATGAGTGGCCCGTGACATACATGTTAATTTTTTGAAAAAATTATCCTATGATACGTACAAACTTAGCGCTAGAAACAAATATATCGATATTCATAACATTCATTGATGTAGTACGTTACCAATCGTGTAGCGTGTCATGCAATAATATGCACGTACGTATGTACGTACATATATAAGTATGCCAAGCACTTCCTACTTAAAGGTAAAAAAGCTCGTTTGAATAGAAAGGGGTTAGTGGCTCACGATTTGTTATTATTAATGAAAACGCAATTACGATTAGGTAACATTTAACTTGTGTCACCATGACAAATAAAAGCAGATCCGATTTTTTTTCTCTTTCTTTTTATCTTTATACAAGTTATACAAATTTTAATTAATAATTTAGTGAAAAATCATCCTCTATTCTTTTTCTTTTTTACAAGTATTATTAAATACATGCGTTTAAATCCGTTGGATTTTTTTCTCCACAATAAATAATTTAAATTAAATCAAATCAAAAACAATGTCTGCCACATCATTAGCACCACCTTTTCCCGCGGAAACTGTTATCAGCTGTATTAATTTTCAAGAAACTATTCATGATACACCTCATTTCCGTGCAAACATTCGAAGATTTGAAGAACATGTAGATCATTTTGAAAAATGGTTAGATGGATTTTGGAAAGCTTTAAAACAATACATTGAAGAGATTAACAGTAAGTTTTTTGAAATTATTTATATCAATTAATATTTTGAATCATATTTTTGATACATTCACTATTGATTCAGAATTCAACGATGCAAGCAACAATTTGGCAAAGCGTTCTTCTCCTACTGAAGATTCATTGCTAGGTATTAATTTTATATTTTATTTGCACCTTTAATTGTGGTAAATTTCTACTAAAATATATTCAAACATAAAATAGATAGCGAATTTACATTACCAACTGTGAGACTGTTTACAGATATATTTCAAACCACCTTTGCATTTAAAGCAAAATTGGTAAGAAAAAAAAAACTTGAAATATCACTGTTAAATAAAAAAAATAATCATTTATACCTCTAACAATTTATTATTTATTTATTTTTATTTTTATTTTTATTTTTTAACTTGTGTCCATTATTGAAGGCTAATGATATTGATGAAAAGCTTTTACAACCGATAAATCAATTTATAAAAAATGATTTAAAGGAATTCAAGGTATTTTTAAATATTTCATCTATCTTATAAATATATTTGTATATCATTAATCTTATTTCATCTATCTTATAAATTTATTTGTATATAATTAATCTTATTTTTTTTAATAGGAAGTTCGCCGAGCTTATGATAAAGCACTTGAAAAATATGATAGCATAATAGCAAAATATG